TAGCACAAATACACGGATTCACATGTGCACACAGTCACATATGCTCAGAAGTGCTCACGAGCACGCCTAGCTGCTCACATTCACACAGGCCTGCATGCCCCCCCTCCCACTTACTTACAGGCCCTGGTGGCTCTGACACCCCCCTCAGCCTGGGCCCTGGGAGGCTGTCTCTGGGTGACCTGCAGGTCAGGGTAGCCGAGAGCTGGGCTCTAGAGGGTTGTGAGTTTGGATCCTTTCTCTGGGCCTCAGTTCCCGCTCTGTGACGCAGGCCTAGGGTGCTGTGAGGTTCAGCCAGCTAGTGGGTGGGACCGGGGGTGCAGTGGGGGTAATGCTACAGCTTCTGCTCCTCCCCCGTGAGTTCGGCTGGGCCCCGGGCAGCCCTGCTCTGAGGATCGAGGCCCAGGGTGCAGCCTGGAGTTAGTGAAGAGGATTAAGTGGCCCCCTCTGACCATGCCCTGAGATTCTAGGCACCCCATTCCACAGATAGGGAGGCTGAGGCCCAGGGAGGGCGCTACCCCAGGCTCGGCCCAGCACAGACCACACCCACTCCTGGCACACTCAGGCACACCAGGTCACTGCACACCTCACCTCTGGAGAGAAGATGGAGCAAGCTCAGCGGGGAGTGAGGTCGGGGAGAAGGTCTGAGATAGAACTGAAGATGAAACGCCCCTCAAATGGAGGCTGGAGCCTGTTTGTGCAGAGGGCTTAGTGGGGGGCCTGTGCCAGGGTGGTGGTGGTGGTGGGGTATCCTCAGCAAGAGACCTTGTCCTTGAGGTTCAGGCACACAAGCCAGAGCAGGATGAGGGCTCTGAGATATGTCGGTGCTCTCTGCACACACACACACATACACACGTGTGTACCTGCATGTGTGTGCACACGCCCCACCCACGCTGGCCCTGTGCTCGCAGGACCCTGGTTGATCACCAGCTTTTGCAGACCCGCCACAGGAAGGAGAGCTCGAAATAGCAGGCCCGTCACGGCAGGCGCTCTGCGGGCCAGTCCCACCTCAGGGGGCTGCCTGCATCAGCTGGACTGGCGTCTGGTGCTGGCTTTGGGGACCCATTGTCTGCTCTGGAATCCAAATTTAGAACGCTGACAGCCCGAGGCCTGGCTGGCCTGATGCAGCCTCGCTGGGCTCTGGTGACAGCCACTGCTGTGAGCTGGTAGCCCCCCTGCCTAGGCATACCCAGGGGCCTGGGCCCAGCCGGGGCCCGGGGCTTGGGAGACAAGGGACAGACTAGGGGCTCCAGAAAGCTCGTGGGGAAATGGAATTTGGAGATAGTGGGGTTTTCCCACTAGCTTTTTGAAGCCCCCCCCTCTGTGTCCCATCTTGTAAAAGGGAAACTGAGGCACAGGGGGCTCTGGCTTGACCAGGACGCCCAGGCTCGGCCCAGCCTTCAGTTCTGTCAGGAGAGCCTGCCACCTTCCAGGCCTAGAGGTCCCAGTGAGGGGGAGCCCACCCCACCGCACCCCGCCTCCCCCACCCTCACCTTCTTCCTCTGCTCCTTCTGCCGCTCCCTGAACTCCTCGAGGCTGCGCAGCTCCTCCCTCAGGGCCAAGGCCAGCTGGATGTGCGAGCTGCCCACGTTCTCCATTTCTGAGTGGCAGCGGAGACGTCAGTCCTGCTGGGCCTCGGCCGCCGACACCCTCACCCAGCCTGGACCCACCCAGTCCCAAGGCCGCGCCTTCTGTGTCCTCTCCCAAATTCCCCTGGTGCCAAGCTGGGCAGGAACCGCCCCTCTCTGTGGATGGCGATGGGGTCCCCTGCAGCTTGGGGTGAGCACTTACGCTGTTTCAGGGAGTCGAAGGAGGTCCGCAGGGAGCTGCAAACAAAAAGGTAGTCAGCCGGAGGGGAGCACGGTGCAGACCTGAGGCCTGCAGGCTTGTCTACCGACCCACGCCTTGCTGTGGCCAGTCCCGACTCACAGCCACACGGTAGGACAGACAGAACTGCCCCGAGGGCTCCAAGACTGTAAGGCTGTGGGAGCAGATGAGAGGGCTCGAAGGGCTGACCTTGCAGCTAGCAGCCCCATGATCAACACTCTGTCACCAGGGTGCCTTCTGCTCGCCTCAAGGTCTGATTTGGGGAGGCAGTCCCTTGGCAGCTCAACAGTGACCTTCAGGGGCTCTGAGGCCAGGTGCCCTCTTAAGGAGTCATGAAGCAAGCCCCTCTCACGCCACAAGATAAACCACCAAAGCCCCTCCCTGTCTGCTTCTAGCTGCTGCCTTAGAGACCGTGGGACTGTCTCCCAGACTGACCCTTCCACCACAGGTCCAGCCTCTCCCCACCCCTGCAGGCCCCCAGGCCCCTCAGGACCTCAGGGGCAGGTTGGTGAGAGGGAAGGATGTGAGGGGTCTTCAGACTGAGGAGTAGGGAGGACGCTGCCCAGATGACTGCTGAGAGAATCTTCCCTGTCCCTGTTGGATGGCCCAGTGGGGCACGAGGACCGGAAGTGAGGGAGTTTCCTGTAGGGAACAGGCAGCCTGGGGCCCCGAGGCAGCAGGGTGAGCCAGTCTGAGCAGAGCTGGCCGAGGAAGCTCACCCACAGAGCCACGGACAGAGCTGAAGCCTGGGCAAAGGTATAGCCAGGTGAGTGATGGGGTGCCCTTGGTCGGGGGGTTCCAGGCTGAAGAGCGCCCCTTCCCCAGCCCCCTCAGAGGGGTGAGCTCCTCATCCAGGGGTGTAGACCTGGGCAGGGGCTTCTTCCTGCTTTAGAGGCCCACAGGCATTAGAATTGGGCCTTGGAAGCAGACGGCATGGGCTCAATCCAGGCACCGCCTCTGGCGTGCTGTGTGACCATGGGCAAGTTACCCACCCTCTCTGAGCCCCATTTTCCCTTGCGGTCAAAGGAGCAGGAGGACTGTCAGGCGTGAGCGCAGTTATATGTGTAAAGACCCCACGGTAGCACCTATTCAAAAGCAGGTGCTTCACCAGGGATGTCACTACTCAGCATACTCTGATGGGTCCTGGGGGGTCCCACAGGCCTCTGCCACCTGACCTGAGCTGTCCTCTAGTACGTCTCCCTAAGAACTTACCAAATGCCCCATCTTATTGGGAAATCCCCCCTCTGGGGCCTGGCCTCAGGCAGGGTCCCTTGCAGGGCAGGCTGGCCTCCCTGTCCACCAGTCACAGCAGCCTGAGAGCATGAGGAGCATGTGTGAGGGGTGCCCACATGGACTGAATGTCCAAGCATGCAAACATGGGCACCTGTCGGATGCAGACTGGCCCCAAAAGGGGGCCCCTTTTCGCTCAAGGTTAAAATTCTCCGCCCACATTGCAGCCCTCCAGCCTAGGAATTAAACCAAACCGCAGCTCCTTCCGGTTTAGGCGCTGCAGGTGATCAAGGCCCACAGGATAACCCAGCCCAGAGCCTGGCGAGGCTTGCTGGACTCACCGGGCCTGTAGCAAGGACATACCGTGCTAGGTTCTGGGCCCAGACCGCCCCGCACATCTTCCACAGAGAAGCTCGCCTGCCCCCTAGTGCCCACAAGGCAGCATGACACCCATCCAGCCAGCCTGAAGAGGCAGCCTTTATGGGGGCTCCTTCCTCTCATTGAATAACTGGGGGAACTGAGACCCCAGGAACAGTAGCAGCCTGGAAGTTCCCACAGAGATCTGGGCCTGGGGGAGAACGGTGGAGACCTGCTTGATGCCGGACCCTGTCCCTAAACCAGGGGCTCAGTGTGGTCTGCACAGGCCAGCAGCAGCCGCCTCCCGGGAGCTTCCTGGAGATGCATTCTCAGGCCCCGTGGTGGACATCCTGAAGCAGAAACTCTGGGCTCTAATACGCCTCCAGGTGCTGCGGCTGCAAGGTGTGTGTCCTTACTCTCTCCATTTCACAGATGTGACACCCTAGGGGCAGCGGGGAGAAGACACTGTCCCCTGATCACACAGCTGGGAAGAGATAAAGGGAGGTGAGACCAGGCGAGGCTCGCCCCCTGCTTCCTGACAGAGGAAGGAGGGGGCGGCCGCCATGGACTTTTCTCTATTGCAGTGGTTCAACCTTCCTCATGCTGCGACCCTTTCATACAGTTCCTCATATGGTGGTGACCCCCCCAACCATAAAATTATTTTCGTTGCTACTTCATCACTGTCATTTTGCTACTGTGATGAATCGGGCAACCTCTGTGAAAGGATCGTTTGACCCCCAAAGGGGTCGACACCCACAGGGTTGAGAACCGCTGCTCTAATAGACTCTACTCCTCGGCAGAAAGACAGCATGCCCTTTCCTTCCCTGGTGGCGTAGGGGTTACACACTGGGCAGTGGTCCTCAGAGTTGGCAGTTCGAAACCACCAGCATCTCAGAGAGCGGCAGAGGCTCTCTACTCCCATGAACAGTTACAGTGTCAGAAACTCACAGGGATAGGTAGTTCTACCCTGCCCTGCAGGGTCACTCTGAGTCAGTACTGACCTGATGGCAAGGAGAGTGGTTTTGGGTCTTAACCCCCTCTTGCCTGGTATTCTTTTCTATCCCTTCTGAGCACTTGTTCCTGTTGTCACCTCCCATCCAGTGCCACCTCACTGCACTTGGGGTAGACCTGATACCTGGTTCTCCTCTCCCTTCTGTCCCCAGGCTCACAGCCCAGGTCTGCAAACTCGGCACTCATCCCAAACCAGTGTGGCCTCCCTCTCTGCCTGGGCTCCAACGTCCCTGCCCTCAGGGTTCTCAGTGCTGCCACCTACAGGCCAGCTAGGTGTACAGGGCCCAGGTGCTCCTGGCTCCTCCCAGACTTCCAAGAAGGGGGGGGTGTCAGTTCTGATGCCCACCACATGTCAGCAGACTCTCCCCAAGTGACTGCTGTTAAGATCTGATTGCATAGAAGGTCAGGGGCGGCCTGAAGTTACTTTCTGCTTCATGAGATGCAGCAATGATGGCTTCTCATAGCTTTCCCACGCCTGGACCCCCGCAAGTCCTCGGTCTGCCCTGTTAGCAGTCACCAGTGCCCTCAAGGGTAACCCATCCCACTGCCCTTTGTGACTTGGCTGCCAGGAGGCTCAGCCCGAAATCCTGTGTCCAGATGCAGCCTAGAATTCCAGAAGGCAGCACCCCCTTTCCTCTGCCCACCACATGGCAGGTGCCACCTCAAACCCTGCTTTAGCATCCCAATCCCCTGCCCCCTGGCCAGCCAGGATGTGCCCATCTCACAGGGACAGGTGAGCAGGGGGCTCCCAGGATGCCTGGCAGGAATGGAGCCTCCCTTCCAGCTTCCTCAGTGAGACCCTGAAAAGCGAACAAGCCCTTCTGACAGGACAAGTCAGGGTTCAGCTTCTCCCGAGGGGGGCCAGAGAGGCTGAGTGCGTTCAATCCAACGCCTCTGGGGCTGTTGGTCTTGCTCTTTGGAAACTGCACGGTGCTCTCCGGGGGCTGGCCTGTCCTGCCCACTGCAGTTCCCATCTCTGGAGCCCCTGACCTGCACAGGCTCCCGCCCTGTGGGCATCCTCAGAACCCAACTGGGGCAGGATGAACAAGAGTGGGGGGAGCATGGAGGAAAGGGCACACCCAGGAGTGGGGAGGGCCCCTTTCCAGGGGGTGGCCGTTCAGCCCCAGGCCAGAAATGGAGAGAAACACACAAGGGCAGTCCTAGAGAGGCAGCAGAGGGCAGAAAGGCCGGAGGGCAGGGGACCGAGGCAGGCAAACTTCCTGCTGGGCTGGGTGTGTTGAAACGCCCCCTACACTGACCTAATGCTGTCTGTGAAATGCCCTGGACATTCTCATGGGGGTCCCTGGAGTTTGGGGACCATGTCTTGTTTGTGCATCCGGTCTACCCATTGCCCAGTCTGCGGAGTCAATGTAGGAGGAGTGGAATGTCAGCCAGCTGTGGGAACCTCCTTGTGCTGTCTGTGGCCTGAGCTGCCAGGCCCGAGGGAGGCTCCTGGGGGTGGGGGGGTTGACGTCCAGAGACGACACAGAAGAGCCGCATCTCTCTCAGGCACTCGCAGGACTATTTCTGGGGTCACTTCACTTCCTCTGGCTTTTGTCCTCCCCATCTGCCCCCGCCCCAAGCTTTCCACCCACCCCCACCCTCACCCCACTTCGCCTGCCTTTCCGGGGGGCTGAGAATGAGTGTCCTGAAATACCTGGGGGGCGGGGTTGATCAGCTGAGGGCTAAGGGGAAGCTGGGAGTGTCCCTCCACCCAGGATGGGCCAGGTCTGGGGGACAGGGCACCTGCAAGACACAAACCCTATGAGTCTTGGGGACAAGGAGGTGACACGGGTTGTCACAGCCATCACTCACACCTCCCTCAAAGAGCCCTCTGGGGTTGGGGTGGTTAGGGGCCCTGGTCTAAAATGAGACTGAGGGTGGGACAAAACGGGGTAGTTTGGGAAGGCTTCCTGGAGGAGGCGGGGTAGGGTATAAGGGAGCCCTGAAGGGAGGTGGCACCACAAATGGGGAAGAGAATGACGTGGCTCTTTTTCTTTTAATTCTTGACTTAGCGCTCACTCGGCCTAGGGCACGCACACATTAGAAGGCTCAGCAAGTACCAGAGGCCTGATTGGACTGGTGACGGAGTCCCTGACACAGAGCATAAACACGGCACGAGTGGATGAATGATTAGCCATCCCGGCCGTAGCACCTGCCACGTGCATCAGCAGCACCTAATGAGCGCCTGCTGTGTGCAACCATGTGCTGTGTCGCATGGAGCACCTCCCTCTCCACCTGCCCTCTGCCCTCCTTTCCAGGAAGTGCTCTGCTCTGCTCCTCAGGCCCAGCTGATGGTCAGCTCAGGGCAGCACCGGCTTCTACATGTGGGAATGGCTGCCGCTGGGCCCCAGAGGCCACAGAGCCACGGGCTCGGGCCCTCTGTGGGCTTTTGTTTCTGCCTTCCTGCCTTCGGGCTGTCTGGCTGAGTGAGGGACCTGGCTTCCCCAGCCCGGGATGGCTTCCTCCTCGGGAGGCAGGATGGTAGAGCCCTGGTCTGGCTTCCACCCTCTCAGCACCCACTTTGGATCAAGGCCTCCTGCTCCAGGGCCTCCCTGGCTCCACCGTGGAGCGTAACTTCGCCAGCGAGCCCTTGGCTCTGGGCCAGCGGGGACGGGGGAACTGAGACTGGTGTTGATCTGGTGTTCCGGGGTGCTCAGCTCTCATTGTGACTGACCGCCTTCTTTCACAGCACTCAGAGTTGGGGGGCGACCACCCCGAGGTCAGTAGACTCTGCCCCTCCCTGTTCACTTCCTGCTCCTCCACGCCTCCCCCCTGGTACTGCCCTCCAGTTCCTGCCTCCCTCTCTCTGCTGGTGGCTTCTCCTTCCTGGTGTAGGCCCTCTGACTCACAGCCCCCTGAATGTGCCTCAGAGTCCCAGCCTCAGCACCCACCCGATTCACCCGCTGTCGGAATCCTCCCCCCCAGGAAGTTCCCCTCTCCTCCCTCTTCCTCAGTTATGCCCCCACCCACCCACGCCCTCCCCCAGCCAGCATCTTCCCGGCCTGGGCATCTCCTGTCAGTTCCCTCAGAGCCCCACGCACCAGCTCTGTGGAGGAGGACAAAGGCTGGAACCCAACCCCCAGTCAGCACCACTGCCCACCAAGCCGACCCACGGAAGCGGCCTCAGAGAGCGCAGGCCGGCTGCCTGCAGCCCCGCAGCTCACACAGACTGAGCAGGGAGTGGCGCTCACTGGCCAGCACAGGAGGGTTAATGGGCAGGCTCACACCAGGCCTGCCTTCCTTCTCCGGCATTCCCTGGCTCCCTGGGGGAGGTGGGGGATGGTAGAGGATTCAGACAGGGTCTTTGGAGGGTAGAGAGTGTTGCCTGATCCCCACCTGAGCGACCTGGGCGGGGCTTCAGAGCTCGGTGCACCCACCCCCTTGGGCAGTCAGGCAGGTCACAGGCTTGCCCTCTCCTGAAGTTGCAGGCTGGGGTTGGCCTAGGGGTCCCCAGAAGTGAGAATGGTCCTGGTGCATCCTCGCCCAGCAGGGGGCACCCCCCTCCCCCAGCGGTGTTTCCATTCCACCGTTAGAGAGTCATTGCTTCAGCTACACAGAAATCCATCACCTCCGGGCCAGGGCCCCTGCACACAGAGGCCTGCCTCCAAAGAGAACCCCAATTGCTTCAGATGGACAGCTCTTTGTATTGGCTCCCCCTCTGAGCCCAGCCTGGGTTCAGTTAACCCTTTTGGATCAATTCATCACACTGCTGGGGAGGTGGCGACACGGAAAATTTTAGTGACCAACCCGAGGTGGGACTTAGACCCAGCTCTGGCCACATCGCTTTTGCCGGAAACATCAGGCGGCTCTGGGTAGCGCAGTGCAGGGCTCTGCCGCCTGCCCCCTCAGGACTATGAGATGTTCGAAAGACCACCAGGCTGCTGTGTGGCCAATCCCTGTGGGCTGCTGGCCTCCTCCACCCACGTCACATCTGGTACCGAATTTGCCCCTACACAGAGCCTGGTCTCCCAGAGGCCTTCACCCATGGGCCCAGGAGGGCCGTGGTCCTGATGTAAGTGACCACACCTGCTAGCTGGGCAGGGGCCACAACACCTGGCACTGAAGTCCACAGGTCCTCCCTGGTCCTCCCCAGCCCACCCATGTCTGGAAAGTGGAAACCCTCCTAAGGGCCCAGAAAGGAAAGGACCGAGGCCCAGGGCTGGGGGCCTCTTACTTGATCTCCGTCTGGCCGCCTGCCTTCCGGGCGATCTGCACCAGCTCCTTCCCGTAGCGCTCCTCTGCTTGGGCCCTGCAAGAACCGTGTGCGCATGCTGAGCCCCTAGGCTGGCTCGCTGGCTGCGTGGCCCTACACCTGCACTCAGGTAACAGGCATTGCAAAGGTGGGGCCACCAGCTTCAAGGGCTTCAAAAGTCCACGGGGTGGGGGGGGGAGTGAGGGGGGAGGGATCGAAAGCTAATGGGATTTCTCCTTTGTCTGTTGTCCCAAGACAGGGACATCTGAAGGAGTGTCGAAATATTTCCCCCGCCAAAAAAGCTGGGGGTCTGGAGACAACAGGAGAGAGAGGATCCCGAAGTTGCAGAGCCGGCACTCTGAGAGCAGCGTGGAGGCGGTTTGGCCGCCAGGAGAGGGGCTGGTGGAGACGCGGGCGGCACCTTTTGGTGATAAAGATGCCCCCGAATGGCGCCAATAGCTCAGCGCAAAGCCTCAGGTTGTCAGGTTGGAGGCCACCCTGAAGCACTTCAGGGGAAAGGCCTGGTGATTTATTTCGCGGGGTGGGGGGGGGAGGGGGGAGGGAGACAGCCACGGAAAACCCTGCAGAAGACGGTGCTTCTAATCTGATATATACGGTTGCCAGGCTGCTGCGTCAACGCCATGGCCACTGCTTTTGTCTCCTTACCCAGGGCAAGGGGAACAGCAAACCGACGCCTCAGCACGAGAGGGCTTTTGGGAAAGCATCTTTAGCCTCCAGAGAGAAAGACGGAGCTTTGCCCCCCAGACACCCCCCGCCCCCACACCCCAAGATCAGGCACAAGGCCAGGATGCCTGCTCTCCCACTGCCCTGCAGCTCTGTACTGGAAGTCCCAGGCGGAGCAGTTAAGCCAGAGGAAGAAATCAAAGGCTTCTAAGGGGGGGAGGGGAAGTGAAACTATTTCTATCTACAGAGGACCATGGTCCTCTAGAAAACCCCAACGAATCCACACCAAAAACAGCGACGAGCTAAAAAGTGAATTCCGCAAAGGCGCGAGGCCCGAGGTCAACCGCCGGGCCGAGGCTCACCTCTGCCGCAGCAGCTCCTCCACGTCCTTGCACATCTTCCTGCCGTCCAGCAGCCGCTGCAGCAGCACCTCGTAGCCGGTGTGGGCCGTGAAGTCCCTGCACTGCGCACACAGAGGGACACATGACTGCCAGGGGCCGCGGCAGTGCGGGGGCAGGACACAAAGGCCTCGCTGAGCTGCGTGCCTGCCTCGGGGCCCAGCCTCCTGCTCGACTTCCCTCTGCCCCCTGCCGGGGTCTTCAGACCTGGGTTCACACAGGTACACAGGTTCGCATTAGGTGTTTGCGGAGGAAACATGCGTGAGAGAGCCCCACCTGCTGGCTGGACATGGGCACAGCACCTAGCCTCGGAGCTCACCGGCCAGAACTAGCCAGCAGCCCAGTCCTGTGAGGATGGCTAGCATCAGAGACACTTGCTGGTTGCCAGGCACTGCTCACGTCACCCCGCCCCACCCCCAAGTGAGCCTACCATCTTAACCATGTGAGGTGAACGGTGACCTTGCCCAAGGTCACGGATCTCAAAAGTGGCAGGCCCAGCGCTGAAGTAGCAGTGCGGCTGGAGTCCCTGCTAGTAACCTTTGCAACAGACAGCCTGGTCGCCCCTTCCCATCGGCAGTGTGTAACGCGCCACACTGGGCTCTCTCTGGTGGTCTTCTCCCACTAACCCTGAGTGGTCCTCATTGGAAGTGACACCTTGAGCCAGGCTGGGGTGGGGAGAGGAGGGTGAATAGTTTTCCCACCCACCCCCTTGGCAGGGCAGTTACCCGTCCAGCCCTGCTGTGAATGTGAGTCACCCTTGGGTCCTCAGTGGTGTGTCTGAGCTGTGGGATGTTGGGGGAGTAGAGGTGGGGAGGGGTCAGAGGGTCTGCTAGGGCTTGCCTGCCTCGCATCTCCTGGGAGTCTGCACACAGGGCCTGTATCCGCCGGAGGATGCAGATCCTGGCAGAGGTTTGAGACACTGCAGAAATGCGGCTCGGTCTCCTTCCCGGGCTCATCACCATGCTTATGGGAAAATCCCCATTCCCCAGAGGACTCTGCCAGGCCAGGGAAGGTCAGCGCCTGCCCTGAGACTCGGTCACTGCACTCTTCAGTCCCTCCCAGACACAGGGACTGGCCCCCGGCTTCTCTGTCAGTCTGCATCCTGTCCCACTCTGAGAGCTGGGAGAATCAATGGGGCTTCCCAAGGTCACAGGTACTTGGAGGAGACCAAACTGAACCTGTTCCAGAGTCCAAAGCAGCCACCTCTTCTCCCATGCGGCGCCCTTCCTCTCGAGTCACTGTTAGGGATTTTTGGGGGGCAGGGGGAAGGTGAGGGGTGTCTAAAGCAAGGAGAGCGTCCAATAGGAAGAGTATTTGAGCCAGGTCTTGGCAAGAAAAGGCACTGTTCTTCAAGGTTCAAAGAGACTCCGGAAAAGCACGGATGACCCCCACCCCCAATTAGCAAATTCGAGATAGGAAGCCTCGAAGTTCATCGCTCTCATTGCCATCAAGCCGATTCGGACTCCCAAGGACCCTGTAGGGCAGGGTAGAACTACCCTCGTGAGATTCTGGGACTCTGCACGAGTAGAAAGCCTCTTTATGGCTTCCACGTCTGTGGCTCTTGTGTGTAGCCACTTACCCACTGTAAGCAGGTAGTAAGTGTGTAGCCACTTACCAGCAACAGACCCCAGTTTCCTGCCGCCCTGGCCTCTGCCCCTCCCCGCAACTTCTCTACTGCCCCACAGTCCCAGGAAGAAACCCTCCAAGAGAGGGGAAGGGTTGCCTGAGGGACACTGGGCAGAGGCAGGAGCAGGATCAGGGTTCCCAGGGGAAGATGGGGAGCTCGAAGCAGCAAGCAGAATGCTCTACCCAACCCATGACCTCCCCCCAGGTGGAAATAAAAGCGAAGCTCAACCTACATTGGCCATTCTGGCAGAGGCTGCAGGCAGGCTGGTCCCCTGGAGCTCAGGTCCCGCCCAGAATGCTGCCGGCTGAGTCCTCAGAGCCAAGGGCACTAGCAGGGGCTGCCACAGTGACCAGGCTATTCCGAGGAAGTGCCTAACTCCCGGGGGCTGCCCATGACCATGCCTCCCTACACCCCCACCCCTCAGTCTGCCTGCCCCTCTTCCCTCTTACCCACACACCTCCTTAAGGGTGTGGGCTCTGACTCATTGCTGGGCACCAGGCAGACTGGAGACCCAGTAAGCTGCTCAGGAGATGCGGGAGGAAAGAAAAGGGTGGATGCAACCATCGGTTAATTAGCTGCGCAGGCGCACCCTTCAGAGTCCTGTACCAGAGTCCCTTCCTCTGGGGGATACCCACTAACTCTGCCCTCGGGGTTCCCAGGGGCCCCTGTGGGTCGACCCCATTCAGGAGCACAGACCAGTGCTTCCTTCTGCAGCTCAATCATTCACCTCCCCCTGGCAACCCCCAGCCTCTGTGCCCTAAAACTTGTCTCTGCCCCTGCCCTCTGTGGGATTGCCAAGTCCACTGACCACCACCCACATCTCCACCTCCCTGAGTCTCCACAGGGAAGGGGCAACGGGCGAGAAGGCCCAAAAAGGGAGGCAACCACTCACGGTCACACAGCCGGTAAAGGGCAGAACTTGGATTTGCCCAGATTGGCCCGTTTCCCAAACCACATGTCAAAATCTGTTGTTTGGGAGACCTCCCAGTAACCTGTTGTCACTTTGAGACAATAATGATATTTTGAGACAATAAGACATCCAATAATGATGTCTTAAAAATTGTGGTAACAAAGCACTTGTCATTTCCACAGGCTTCTCGGGGATAGCTCAGCGATGCTAGTTGTGTCCACCATGTGGTGCAATCACCACCATTGTTTCCAGCTTGTTCCATAACCCTTTACAGGAGCCCAGTACCCCCGCCCCACAAGCAATGACTCACTAACCACAAGGTCATCAGTTCGAACCCACCAGCCACTCCTAGGAAGAAAACGGCTTTCTACTCCTGTAAAGAGTCACAGTATCGGAAACTCACAGGGCACTTCTACCCTGTCCTCCAGGGTCGCTGTGAGTCTGCATCGACCCAGCGATGGTGAGTGTTTTGAAATGAGTATACACTTACCAATTCTAGATACTTAGATAAGTGGGATCATAGAATATCTGTCCTTTGGCTGTTGATTAATTTTACTCCACATGTTTCCAAGGTTCACTAGGACGTAGCATATGTCAGTGTCTCATTACCTTCTATGGCTAAATAATATCCCACTGCAGGGGGTGTACCGTGTTTGGTTTATCCATCCATCTCTTAGGAACATGTAGGTTGTTGCCACCATGTGGCTCTTGTGACTAGCAGGACAGGAACCGTTGGTGTACACACATCATTGTGTGCTCTTGGCTTCAAGTCTCTGGGGCATAGACCTCCCAGTAGAATTGCTGAGTAATCTGGTTAACTCTCCATTGAATTCTAGGAACCTCGGACTGTTTTCCACCATGGCGGCACCATTTTACACCCCCCACCCCAAGCGATGGATGAGGGTCCCAGTCATGATCTTTGAAATAGTAATTAAACATCTTTGAAGCCATGCTCTCCACCGTCAACCAGGGGCGGCCTGTACTCCTATGGGTTCCAGGGTGCCCTGCCCCCAGGCTGGGTGGGCCTTGCCGCAGCCCTGCAGCAGGGTGGTTCTAGATTCTGCAAACGTGCCAGCTAAAGCCAGTAGACGGCCAAAGGGCACACCCATGGGCACCCAGGGTGCTGTGCACCTAGGCCCTTCCTCTGGGAGGCTCCTTCAAACCAGATGCAGGACCTTGGGGCCAAGGGTGGGCCCCAAATCCTACACTTGCTATGGGGCCACTCTGGGCTTCCTTTTGCCCACCAAGGGCTGCCTCCCAGCTCCTGACCACCTCCCTGAGAACACTGGGCGCAAAGGAAGCCTTAACCTTGCAGCTGCACAGTGAAGGCCGTGGGACTCTGCTCTCCTGGGACAGCCCACCACTTCCCTCTGATGAGTGGGCCTGGGTGTGAGCCAGTGGCCAGGCCTGCAAGCTGGCCCAGCCTGCCAGGGCCCCACTGGTTGGGTAGAGAAGCAGTTTTGTACCCACCACCACTTCCTCCTTTCCCGCCTGTATCACTCTCAGCGGCTGCAGGGCTAGGCCACAGAGACCAGGCCCCGAGCAAGCCGCTTCCGTTCCTGGGACCTGGTTTCCTCTCGGGGCCAGGAGGCCGACCTCTCTCCGGCCTCTGACAGCCCCTCTCCTCTAGACACAATGCTCGGGCCCCGTTTGGGAAACTTGAAGGACTTTTGACAGACTAGATGTGGGTTCAACCCCACCCTGTGACTCTGACAAGCCCTGTCGTCATTCTGAGTCACTACGCGCTGTAAAACAAATGGGCTTAATCATTTTCCATCACACAGGGTTGGTTTGCATGCAAAACAAATGGCGTCGTGATATGCACAGGAGACGGTGGCTAACACGAGGTCAGTGCTTCTCCTGAGGCCGGTCTGGACTAAAGATGACCACCTCCAGGTGACAGATGAAGAGATGGAGCTCAGAGAGGCCAACTAAGCTGTTCACAGACCCACGGAGCAACACTGAGATTGGAAGGGCAGTCGCCCAGGCCAACATCTCATCTCTTCAACCCCATCCCGCTTCACCTTCCAGGCCCACCTCTCAGGCTGCTCAGGAAGTAGGGGGCTCCATTCTCTGCTCCCCACCCTCCCTGCCCCCTTCCCACCTGGCAAACGGTTCCTTCAGCTGTGGTCAGACTGGAAGACACTAATTCCTGCCTGCCACTGTCCCTGGAGCCCGAGAATGGCTATATGGCATATCAAACACTGGGAATGGGGCCCAGATTTGGGCCTGGAGTCCCACATTTAAAGGCAACAGAATATGGAATTCCAGAATATGAAGTCCGCCATGCATTGAATAATCTAATATGGCTCTTTGATAAGATGACCAGATTTTAACATTGGTAAAGCGGGACATCTGGTCACCTTACTCTTTGAGCCAGAGCTTTTGTTAGTCCCACCAAACTACCACACTGGCAGGCTTTGAACCACCAACTTGGCAGTCAGCAGCCCCACTCGTACCCCACAAGATAACCCGTCCCACACCAGGGAGGTGTGTCCGAGTAGCCTGGAGGGGCTGAGGAACAGCACCTCAGCCTTCCACATCCACCCCCCAACCCCCCCACTGGCCTGCAGAGGTCAACACATGCATTTATACTTCTCTACGAGCCTCAGGCAAATCTGGGCAGAATGGCATCGGCCAAAGCGTACTTTCCCGCTGAGACCAACCTCGTCTGCAAGGTGGAAAAGGGATGAGAAAAGTGACCTGTGACCTGGGAGCCCAGAGGGAACCGTTGGGAAGACAGACCCTCATGACAATGGTAGGCTGGTCTGCTGTCATCCAAACTGGCGAATCCTGGTTAAAGACCACGTGAGGGAAATGGAGGAGCTGCTGAAGAGGTGGCCTGGGGCTAGAAGACTCACCCTGTGGGGGTACTGGCATGCCCAGCAACGGCGATGCTGGTCTAGTCCTTTGGGAGGGCAATGGAGAGCTCCCTGCACATGTCAGATACATTCATCTGATGACACCTGTAGTATTCCTCCTACACGCGTGTCCTCCCCAGTGCACGCAAATAGATGCCACAGGCGATTTGCGCTCGTCTAACCCAAAGTCGGTTCCAACCCACCCAGCGGCCTTGCAGAAGAAAAACACGGGTGATAACGCCTCATCATCACAAGTAGCAAAGAACCCAGGGATTCGTCCTGAAGGAAATGGAAAGAATGAAAGAACATTATTGTAGTTCCTTATCACAGAACACTTTGGAGACATTTTTCAGGGCAATGTGTCCGGAACGATCCTGATGTTAGAAAACACTCCAACACAACGTGGTGGAGCAAACAGCAGAGCGTGGAAAAGGGACCAGAAGGCTAGTCCGCAAGCTGTCCCCAGCACACCCCTCTGAGCAAGAGCCGGAGCTAGATGAGAACTCCCATGTCCACACTTCTTGGTCTGCCTAGCTGAAGGGGTTAATTTTGATGAGCCCCCCA